ATATACATATATATTTGTGCCTGTAAAAATACTGGTTGCAGTTGAACCTGAAAACATAACTTATTTATTGAAGTTTAACAACATTTCACATTAAAAATGCTGAATGGGAACACGTGTGCACTGCTTTTTCCCTTCTACTGAATTTCTGCAGATTAGTGTTTTTGATGTATTACTTATCGTCTCCTGAGCCCTGCTCCCAGAACTTAGGATGGCTCTTGATCTGACCCATGTGCACTACTTCCTTCTTCCTTTTCCGTTATTCTCTGGCAGTGACAGAGTCCACACATCCCAGTGAGCATGATCACCTCTATTTAACCGTGCCTTTTGGCTCAGAGACACATAAACCTTGCAGCAGCAGTGATACCCAGCATTCATCTGTCTTTACTCTGACCAGTCATGAACATCATCTGGCTTTGCCTCCCAGCAGCGCTGCTCGTTACATCAGCCTTGTCTGTTCAAATGACTGACATAAGGAACCTCAGAGGTAAGTTATTTCACATATTTTCTAATATGTACAAATATATATATATATACAGATTATTGTACTACCATATATAGTAAATATAAATATGCTTTTTCCAGTTTCCCCAGGATTCAATCAAAGTATTGCAGGAGTAATGCTGGTCACATCTTTAAATGAGCTCAACCAGCCTGAGTATGCTTTCAATGCCAGTGAAGCTCGCAGGCTCTGCTGGTCCCTTGGACTGAACATTGCTTCAAAAGCACAAGTACAGAAAGCTCTTTCTAGAGGTTTAGAAACATGCAGGTGAGACCAAAGTGAGAGAAAAAATCACCTCAGTATCACCTCTGAGTAATATAACGAGGAGCACCTAATGTAATATTTTGTTCAGGTTTGGATGGATTGATGAACACTTCGCAGTCATTCCCCGCATCCACCCAATTCCCAGCTGTGGCAGGAATAAGAGCGGCTTGGTGCCCTGGCGAGCCAGCGTAAAACAAAAGTTTGATGTGTTTTGCTTCAACGAGACAGGTGAGTAACTTTGCACCTGCATTTTACTTATGAAGAGACAAAAGATATTTAAAAAGTGATTGTGCATGCTGTTCTCTGCTTACTGTTATTCAAAGAATAAAACAGGTCTGCTGTATAGTCGATGTAAATAAGAATACATTAGTATTAATGAATACTCTTAACACAAACTTTGATGCTTTATTGTATTCGCATTGGATTTTAATTTGTATTCAGCAGCATTTTAGTATATTCCACATAACTAGGATGGGGGGAAACAAAAAAAGAAAAAAAACCATTGGAGAGCATTTTTATCGAAGGTTTTTCAAATACATACAATACACTCCTAACACTTTCCAAAACATAATCATCATTTCAAACAGGAGGAAGTACAAAAGAAAAGAAAAAATAATCAGAATTGTTTGAAAATCGTCTAATCTTTGCACAGATGCAGCGATACAACGAATGGATGAAGTAACTGACAGTCCTTTGAAGAGCACACATGGCGTGGGTCACACACACCACACCACAACACCACCATCCACATCTTCCTCCTCGACTCCTGAAACGCTCGACAGTGAGATAGAACCAGCCCGCTTTGCCAGCAGCTCACAAAGCTTTACTGCAGGTATGGGACTCGTAATCTGAACTCTGTCACAGTCAGTTAACACAGCACAAGACTAATAGACAGGCAAAGGCCTCGTTATCAACAGTGTGCATGTTTCATATTTTAGGAAAAGCTGTGCTCATCTTCTGCTCCTGTGCGCTTCTTCTGCTTATAACAATCATCCTGACATACCTCAAATTGTAAGAGCTTTTTTTTTTAATAATACATAAAACACAATAAAGTTTCTCTTGTTGCATATTATTACATCTTTTTCCTGTCCATCTGTTAATAAATAACAGAAGACGTTGCTCTCAGAAGTCAGACGTGAAAGAGCAGAAAGAGTACATCCAGACAGAAGAGTGGATCTGTGTGAAGACCCCTACAGAAACCAAGAAAGCTGCTGAGGAAGATGAGAGGATAGAAGTGGGCGACGACGCACAATAAATGAGAAACTGTTTGTGATCCTCGATTTGTGTTAAATTAAGAGACAGAATGGCTGTAACATGATTTCTTTTTGTATTCTGTTAAATGGTGCATTTTAGCCACTGGAGGGCAATGTTTGTAATAAAATGATTTTAAATACTCACACGGGTTTGGTGTTCTACACAACAAAAACTCATAATAACAGCTTTTCTGCAGGTTTACCCACTTCTTAGATCCACATAATTCTAGTTTTTACTCTTCAGTATCTCTCAAGCTTTTTTAAAAGTCACTGAAGCTTGTTTTAAGCAAACTGTTTGTTTGTTCTCTCATTGGTAACTCTTCTAATGTCTGATATGGGCTGTGAAAAGTTTCTATGAGATCTTGTGGGCTTCCACAGCTTTGCCTTTGAATACTTGAGCATCGTCCCTTACAATTCAATTTTAGAAAACCCATCTGCTATTAATTTGCAATTAGTTAAGTATTGCTCTTTTAGTTTTAGTTTTATTGAAGTTTGTATTCCATCACAGCCAGCCAGAGGCACTTTTTACAAAATAAATAAATAAATAAATAAAGGTAAACGTAGATATCTTAGAGTGCAACATGCTTCGATTCTGTCAAATGTGAGGTCCTCTTTACTCGCTGTGGGAATTCATAGATTCAGCCTTCACTGCATCAACAATGAAGCTGAGTTCATTGCACAGCGTTTCGTGTCTGTAGGCCATCCGGACCTGGGCGACGTTGGTCTTACGGATATCGTTTCCTTCGGGTCCATCTTTCAGATAGTTCTCTCCCAGGAAGTGCATCTTATCCTTGCAAAAGTAATCACAACAGTAGGTGGAAGAAATGATGATTAGATCTTGTGTGAGTTGACCAATGCCTGCTAAGACAGAATTTATGTTGTCTTTTTTCAAATGAAGGATGTGACCACACCTGGTGAGAAAACCCACTCTGCAGCACACTGTTCCTGGCTATTTCACACACATCACAGGTGCTGAACTTCCACAGCTGAGCTGCTATGGCGTACTCCTCCATCAGTGGTTCCTCAGAGGATACACAAATAGCAGATAAGCTTTATTCAGACTACAGAAATGAATCAAAATAACAAATACTGTATTAGTTAGGCAAACAGTGATTTTGGATCACTGAATGATGACCTGAAAACACAGTTTCCTGTAGATTTTTTATTTATTTATTTTTACCTTGGTGTAGTGGAACAGCATGGGATCATCTGTGGACAGGGACACACACAGACCTTTGTGCAGGAAGTCTTTTAGCGGGCTTTTGGAGTATTCCAGGAACAGGCCATTGTTGCTGAGTGGAGACATTGCAATTGGTACCTGGGCTAGGTAGTACAGGTACTGCAGCACTGGGCTCTGTAGGAAGTTTGACAGAGGTGCTGCTCGTGAACGTGAAAGATGGAAAAACACACAAATGTACACACTGTCATTGTGTGTTTTATCTTAATACTGAGTGAGTTGGAGTCCGTACTATAGCGGTGACCTTTGGGATATTCTGCAGTTTATAAGCAATGCTTTGTGGTTTACTGGTTTATAACTCGGGACAGTCGTGAGTACCTTCCTCAGGTTGAGTCCATGTGAGATGTTGTCAGCAGTGAGAAAGGCAGAGACCAGATGAGTGAGTGATCCAGCTTCTCCACAGTGGGGACGGAACTGGAAGGTGTTTAGTCCACACTCTCTATACAAGACGCAGAAGAGTATAATAAGCAACATCACATAACAGCATTTAATCATCTTCATCACACAGAGTGCCGATCAGCTTTAAGCATCAAGTAGTTCAGAACTGGCTTTCCTGTAATTTATTAGTCACTCTTCCACTGACAGTTACAGTTACAAAGTGACAGAGTAAACTGTCACTGCTAGGTCAGGGTCTAACATGTCCTACATCCATGTCAAGTCTTCCTTCATCTATGTGTTTACGAAAGAAAAAAGGATGTATTCTTATTGTCACACAAAGGAGTTGTCAGTTATTCGGCAGGGCAGATACCTCTTAAGCTGTCTGTGCGTTTCCAAAATTAGAATATTAAAAAAATGAATCAGCTTTTATTTTTTATGGTCTTCACTGCTGGTACAACCTTTCTGTACATCTGAGATAAAACATTTAAATTGGGGCTTAAAGCATGTCTGCAACTTCATCTTAACCCTAATTTCTTGTCTGTGTTTCCCCATCTAAAGATTAATCATTACAGGGTAGAGTAATACAGCTTTATATCATGATATACACATATAGTTGACATGTTTTAACTGTCTTTGCATTTTTCTCCCTTTCTGTGCAGAACTCTGAATTACCTTGGGTTTCATATACTTATATTGAGTCACCCATTTAGCAGACATCAAGTAAATTCAATCTGCCTGCTTCTGATACTTCACCATACCTGGGGAATGATACTTACTTTCTGAGGTTGTTGAGGACTATGATGTTTGCGTACATGTGGAAGATGTAGTAGCTGTATGGAGGATTTTCAACTGAAGTCCACTGTTCTGGTTTTGGGCTCCTGAAGGAGAACATGTGATCGCTGTGTTTGGACTCATCGTCCACGCTGTCAAAGCCAGACACCTGCATCCACAAAAACAGTCATTTTCTGCTGGGATTTTTTAATGAAGCCCGGCAGGTATTAATATTAAATGGTTGTTAGTCATTTGTTTCCACAAATGTTACCAATCAACAGTCAGTTATTTTTATATTGTGCAATATATGGACAGACGTACTGGGCCACCTGCAGGTTACACCCACAGGAGCTTATACACCTGTGGCAATGGGACTAAAAACACCTGTACTTCAATATTAAGTAGTGGAACACAATACCTTTGCCCATACAGTGTATTTCTGAACAATTTTACATTTTATGAAGCCAGTTTATATTATAAAGACATGTTTTCATATTGATGCGTCATTATATTTTCATTGCCCTAATGGGTGCATCTGCTTACCACTACAGTATAGTCTGCTATATCACCCAACTATTATTATACTGCACATAAATGCATCATTTGAAGACATGAAGTACATCTTTTTGTGCAAAACTGATCCTCATAATATTTGCTGAGATCTGTTTTGGTACAACAAATCTTACACATTTGAGGAAAATGTGAAGTTCTTTGTGCTTCTGTGGGTTGACTGTGGCCTCAAACAAAGGAAGGAATATGTTCTCCAGCATCTTGGCAAAATTGGGTATCAGCTTCTTTAGCTTGAAAATATCACTGCAACATAAAAGTATATTTTAGATTTCACAAAATGCATTTACATTAAAAGCCTGCATTTTCAGCATGAAGCACTTACTATATTCTGGGCACTTGAATCATCCACCTTATGTTTGGAGAGTATAATTTGTGGTCAATAAACCACTTGGACAGACTGTACCACTCGTCAGGAGACCTTCCGTAGATGGACAGGCGTGGCTCTACATGCTGATACTTGCTCTCCTCCAGGCCACGGGCCACTTCCTATAAAAAAATGGTGAGAGGAAGAGTGCATCAAGTTTTCTCTGCATCACTCCGTCTTGAAATTGATGAAATGCTACAAATGATGATAGTACCTTTATGATGCAAGCAAAATACTCTCCATTAACAACATTGTCAGTTTTCAGGAAGATTTCGCGAAGCTCACTGGCTCCCACTGGGTTATACTTCGCATTGAACTTATCAAAGCGGTGGAAGGTTTGTCTCCCCTGTAAATGTAATAAATCATAAAGTGTGATTCAGAATCCCAGAACGATGCAAGCAGCAGAATGACAAAATCTGAAATTCTTAAATATATTGTCTTAATGGAATATTTGAATTCAAAAGAATAGACAATATTTCTCACAGCATGTACGTCGAGAGAGTCCACAGTAAGGTCATAGGGGTCCTTGTTGAGGTGCTGGAAAACCTCTTTGAGTGTCATTCTTTGTCCACCCTTTTCTAAAACTACACGTTCTGCATCAGTCTGATACGTCTTCTGGATGAAGGTGAGCAGATGTTTCTGAGACATGCATGCAGCTGCATGAATGTGCGTGTCCACCTGCAAGAAAGAAACAGTATGTTCAGTCTGCACGCACTAATATCCTATATTTAACCCCTCCCAGTTGGGCATGCTCAGAAGGTATTCAGGCCCAGCAATCCAAGAGGCAACTAAAACAGATGTCTGAACCACCTCAACTAGCTTTTCCTTTCCAGATGGATCTCAGAGTGGAGGTGATGCTCTGTTGTGACAAAAGGAGCAGCAGCACTGAAAATGTGCTGCACTTTGTGCCAAAGATGCAGAACCAGCTCTTACTTTGGATGGTGTAATTGGTGAAGCTTCCCCTGAGGCTTCAGGCTCTGCCTCCTCTACAAACGACATTGCTGTCACATTCAGAAGTTCTTCAAAGTGCTTTTTGCCAAGCAATTAAATGATAACAGCTGCAGGTTAATCTGGGTAGTTTGCAGAGCATGCTTTAGTATCTACACTCACTTTAAAGTTCAGTCAGATGTAATGGTTGCCTCACTTCCCAGAGATGGAATACTAACCTTTCTAACATTGTAGAAATCTCTGTGAGGCACACGTTTTAATTCCTTGAGCTCAGCCATCTCATTGAGCATCTCATGGAGGTTGAATTTTGAACTCAAGAAATTTAGTCTCCTATGACAGTAGGTTTTCCTGAAAATTAAAAGCGACACTCAGTTCATTCTCTAAAAAGTGCAGAATGGATGATAACCGGTTTTTCAACCAGCATGACTGCATAATTGTTTTGGAAACTTACGTGGGTCCATCTGCAGTCATGGCAAGCACATGACTCAGCTCTACAGCAAAGGTCTCCAAGTCTGGGTAAGGAAGGTCATGAGGCTGGTTTTCTTTGAAAGCCTCTTCATTATCATACACATAAACTATCCCATCCTTCATCTTCAGTTTATAATTTAGATCCTTGGGGATGTTGTCCATGCAGTAGGGATCCTCCCCAGCTTCTGAACATGGGCACATGTCTGGTGGTCGCAAAGGTTTTTCCATTACTTTCATATAAATTAGAACAAAGCATGTTTTTAAATTTTGTTATACATACAGCCCAGCTTCGTACATCATACCTGGAAGGACCTCATCTTCTTCGCTCCAGGTCGTGTTCTGAGCACTTCGTAGGAACTTGCTCGTCGTTCTGCAGAATCTGTGATAGGCTAGCTTTGAGTATTTC